CCATGATGTAATTAATGGGAGTTACGTGTGGGAGATGAGTTACAGATGTGCGGACCGGTAATACTAGTACAAGTTTGTACTTGATGTAATATGATACTGTTATTAAATACTTATTTATGAGTTTTAAGAAATTTGTTTGTATGACTTAGTGAGGTGCAGCTATGTGAAAGAAATCTAAGGCTCTAGACAGACGGACTGCATTTTAACTGCAAATTTGCAAAACAACTAACCAACCAACACACGACTGCACGCCGTCTGCAATTGAGCCGTAATCGGCCTGCTTGGTTGATTTGCAGTTCTATTGCAGTCGTGTCAAATGCATTCAAACTGCATCCGAACTACAAATTTGCAGTTGAAATGCAGTCCATCTGTCTAGAGCCTAAGAAGTGTAAAGAATCGGAGTAGGTTAGTTTTTTTCTGATAAGACGGACTGCACGGTAAAACTCAGCGTTAGGAGTGCGTTGTCAACCAAAGAGGTGATTAGGAATGAAGGAATGACTAAGCCTTCGGTACCCTCACTCAGACGGTGAAATACAATTCATGTTGTTTCACGCTAGTTTTCTTTATAACCGTGATACCACTTCTGTCGAGCCGGCTGATTCGTGCCTAAGTATGCCTCGCCTACATTTAATTAGCTTTTTATTGAATAATCTTTAACTACTTGTAGTTACCACGTACTCCTGGGACCTGGGTTTAACCTCTTGTTATAGCCTAAAACTAAGAGGAAGACATAAAATTGTCTCTTAAAAAGCAATAAACAAAGATAATTTTTGAATGAATAAACAAATCAATTTCCTATATATTCATATGAACGAGATCACTTCATATGAAATGCACTTTGCATTCTGCTAAATGTTTAGTGATATATAATATTCGACAAAAAAAAAGGCTAGTATAACAAACTCACATAAAATTTATTCACAAATAATGAATATTGACTCTAATCTGCATTCATTTACATTGGTAATACTAGCTTTTGCCTGCGACTCCGTACGCGTGGAATAGTGACTTCCTAAAGATTTTTGGTATAAAAACTATCCTAAGTATGTCCTTTCTCGAGTTCTAAAATACGTCTGTACCAAATTTCACAGAAATCGGTTCAGTAATTTAGGCGTGAAGAAAAGATAGACACACAGACAGACAGAGTTACTTTCGCATTTATAATATTAAATTAGTTTGGATTTGGATTAGGCTAGTCACATGATAACATTCATATGAAGATGTTAAATATGTTAATTTATTTTGAAAAACGTCATTTCATTAAGTAATAAGTGCCAGTTTCGTTTGTAATGTGGAAATTACATATGTATATGTAACGCTAACGATCCGCCCCGATGCAATGCTGATACTCATTAGCTCAACTATTTAATTAATGTTATTATACATGTAAACCATCCTCTTCAACCAGTCTATCTATTAAAAAACTGCATCAAAATCCGTTGCGTAGTTTCAAAGATTTGAGCGTACATAAGGGTACTCATATAGGGACAGAAAAAATGAATTTGTTATACACTATTTAGTGTTATGAATGGTTACTTAACCACATATCTTCCTTTGCATATGTTTCAAAAGAAGAAAAAATCGTTACTAAGAAAGAGAGTTGAGAGTATGGAAGAGAGTTATATAGTTATCGAGGCTGAAAATATAGTCAATTTTTAAACTTAGTTATTAGCATCCAGTCTTATCATATTAGTGTCATAGTAATCAAATACCGACAGAAGTTTTAGATAGTTAACTATCTAATACTACAATAAATTACTTAAAAAATTAGAAGTGCTTTGCGCTAGATAGATTTTTACTAACAAATATATAATTGGTTCTGTTGGTCATTTTATTGTTACAAAGACGCTGTTCATCATCGTCATCTTTGTTGATGAAAATCCACTACAAAATTATGCCGATATATTAGGTAGATAGAAATTAGAAGATGTTGATAGTTAAAATAAAAATTACACAGTTAAAATAACATAAAATATTTACTTAATTGATGTTATCAGCAACACAGGCGGGAGTGACTCAATAAAAAAACGCAAATTTTATCAATATTAATATCTAGGCCATTTTTTATGTCTAGCCAGCAATTACAGACTGATGATTTTCGTAAACATAAATATTACACAACATGACATTAGTGAACACACCCTGTAGGTAGGTACAGTCGTCAACGTCAACGTGGGCGCTGTATCAGATTTTACTTGCAAAAATAACTTACTAGCATGTGTAATTAAAAAAAAATCGATTATTTCTAAATTTTCCAACCTTGAAAGTACTTAGTACCGGCTGCAGTCAGTACAATTTAGGGGTCTTCAAGGCTAGAGTGAAAAGGCTCTTAATAAATTAGTCCGCCTTACCATCAACGATTGCATCACTGCTTCCCATCAGGTGGGATCGCAGTCAAGCACTAGTTTATTTGCATGTAAAAAAAACCTTAGTTTATTAATGGACAGGATTTAAAAATAATATTCTTAGTAACCTAATGGACTTAATTAGAGACAGATGAGAGTCGTTGGTAGTCGTCGTTACATTAGTTTACTGGATTAACTAAAGTAAAGAAAAATGGCCGGCATTGGTTACTGCACACAAAATTCAACTTCAGTTTGGTCATGAAATGAATTTGTCGACTGTACGCCCATACGTATATGATATGTATATGTAATAAATAAGACAGGTGCGTCGGATTGCGCATCTCACAAATAGAAATGATACAAATAAAACGCGAGGCAATTAACCAAGCACGCAGTTCCCTTTCACTGATGATATGAAGTGTCCGAATTGTAGCGGTGACTAGAGGCTGATAGCGTTTCTAACTTGATTCGGCTTCGGCTAAATATTCGGCCAATTTTTATCTACTTTGTAATGTTAAGATTACTATTATCATTGTTTGAGAGTGTTTTATTGTCAAAGAAGAAGAATAATCTTGAAGTACATATGTACTGTACAACATAGATCACAAGTTTATACTTTATTGATATTGGTTGTACGTGAAATAAAATATACCTAGCTATTTGCATTATCAAAACAATACAATCGATCTTCGACATTCCTGGATGACAATAATACTTAAGCTACATATAACTGTTATCATCAATTTGACAGTGTTATACCAACTTATTCGTGTAAGCCGAAACTTTTGGCCCAAAACCTAACCTTGTGTCAAACTCTAAAGATAAATCTTACACCACTATAGCAATTACGTTAATTCTCATGTCTATCAAACTGATAATTTTCGCTCAATTTATTAACAAGATGGCGCATCGTTTGTCGAGATAATTTTTATTAAAGAACTTGTTTTGACTGCATATGTCGTAAATTTATCTCACAGACTTTTATTGAGCTAAGATTTTAATTTCATAATTTTAATATAAGTAGGTGTGCTGGTGTCCTAACATTTATTAGCTATCTCGATGTCACATGACGCTAACTGCATCATAAGTTTAGCGTTTAGCATATTATCTACATTTCCTTTATAATCTAGATTTCGCAATCGCCAAGAATGCGAAACTGTGGTTCGTTTACCTCTGACCAGCGGCAGAGCATTCTAAAACTTGTTATATTTGTAAGGTTTATCAAGAAGTCCTTTTTTTTCAAAAAAAAATTTTCATTTTAAAAACGTTTTAGTTCAATACACTGTTACATTACAAGGTTTCTTCAACTTTCTGCTTAACAAATACCTATCTGAAACTTCACACATCGAACAGCAGCCCATCATCAAAAACGATTGTCATAACAACACATTGAAATAGTTCACATCACATCACACGTATTACAAAGACGTTACAACCAAAACCTTACAACACTAACCAGTGAGAAAGGAAAATCGAGGGCGTCGAAGAAATCAATTTGAAAGAACAACAATACTCATATTATGCAAAATACCTGTTACCTTAAGTAGAAAGTGATAACCTGGTATTCATTGTTTCTTACAAATACCAGTAATATTGGTAAGAGAAATAATATTACAGTACCTGCCAATAAATATGCCTGCCATTGAATTTTAGAAAGACACTTTAAACAACCATTATTATGAGTCGCCAAAAAAGTTGAGCTCGAGTTCGAATTATAAAAAAATAAGTTTAATGATAAAGAATAATAATAGGTTGAAGAAAAAAACGGCAATTCATACCAATTTTTAATTTTTATTTATTAAAATAATGTAAATTGTACGATAAAGGCACGGATCGAGTCCGTGAAGAGCTTAAATTTATTTTACTCTGATTTCTCTCCTCCCAAAAGTCGATGGGCAATCTTTTTTTGCCACGTATTGTATCTCAGAGTGTTCTCCATTACATGGTTCGATGGTTTGAATAGCGAAAACAATTCAGGGCAGCACCATGCCCACTGTTCTCGGACTTCAATTATAGACCAAGTGTTACATCAATTGTGTCTGTTATGTCATCTTCTTCAAATTGGTTTGTTTTTTGTTGAGCTATCTGATCTACATACCTGAGATATTTGAGCATTTGTTTTATTAATGACTTGTGTTGTAAAAACACATGTTTCATTCGTTATGGTTTCGGTTGGGTAAGAGTAATTCAGTTTTTGTGCCAATATTCTTTGGTGATTATAATTAGACAACCCCAAACTAAGTACCCATCATCATTAAATGTCTTATTAAAGTAAAATAAGTAAAAACATATTCATAATGTAAGTATGTAAGTATTGAGACCTTATAAAAAAGAATTATAGTAGAGTTTTTCAAAGAAAACACGTTGTCATTAGACAATCGTATTGCGTAGGATAACTAGTGGGCTGCTGCAGGAAATCAACGGCTGAATTTGCAAGAAAAATTGCAGAGCAAAATAAAAAAACATAATCAAAAATAAAACATGCAACATTTATTTCTCAACAAGATATAACAAATACATACTAAATAGACATACAACAATAATTACAAACACCTAGTACCTAAATAGTCTCCCATGGCAATAAATATCTGTGGTTAACATAGCGGCAACTATATGTTCAACATATAACTCTATCAGTACGAGGCACTTACATGGCTATAGTTTAGCATAATTACGACTTGCCGAATACGCGTTCTTGTATGAGTTGGAATCAGACGATGAAGAATACTCACTGCTGTGGCCAATATCATTATCCTCCTTCGGAACAGTTTGAGACACCGGGCCTTGTAACTTTTCATACTCAGTCGTCGATCCTTGAGGCACGTACTGGACATTATACTTACTCTGAGCATTAGTTGGATAGTAATTATAGAAACTCTGAACTGGATTCTGGTATAGAAGGTTATTGTATGGAGACGGGTTTGGTTGAGCAAAGAGCAGCATTGTAGATGGTTGACCTAAGTAGGATCCTCCAAGCTGTAAAGGCTGATAGTTGGGCACGTTGTAGTGACCCTGAGGCAAAGGATTAATCAAAGTAGTCTGATGAGGACTTATTTGATTAGTAGGAGCAGGAGAAAAGAGTTGAGGGGCATAAGGCACAATAGGCTGCGTAGGATAACTAGTCGGCTGTTGCAGGAAAGTCAACTGGATATTTCCATTTGATTTGGATGGTACTAATTGGTATTTTGACTGGTAGCCGGGATTTGGTACGAAGTTCAATGGCACGAATTGTGAAGTGGTCGGTGGTGGCAGCAGGTTGATTTGAGGTTGCTGCTGGGTATACGAGGAAGATGGTGATGACTCGCTCTGTGTGTTCGGTGACGAGTAATACTGACTACTCGCCTGACTCGGGTAAAATGAATTTGGCACTTGAGACTGATAAGACGTCGGACTCGTCGAGCCGCTCTGTGAACTAGGATTCTGTGTGTAAATGCTATATGTATAGTCTTGCTTCTGAGCCCCTGTTGGAATAGCATTCAAACTCGTTGCCTTCCCAGCATTACGTTTCTTCTGCTCCGCATCCTCAACCTCTGTACAGCATGCCAGAGCAGCGAAAGCGACGAAAATCTGAAACAAATTACAAAACAATCAATCACAATCTTCATATCTACGAACCAGAAGAAGCCAATCAATCAAGAGCCTCGTTATCGTAATACATATTTATTTCACATCATACAATAAATCGAGAACATTTACTTTTGCTTCAACGGGTTATAATAAATGACTTCTAAAGTAACGCCCAAATGTTTGTTCAATTTCAATTGAACGCTAGTTAGTACATTACATAAAGTAGAAACTTACCAAAAGCTCGCATTTGCCCATTTTGTAAAATGTTTGCAAATAATGCGTTAATATAATTACATTATTTACTTGTGGGAAAACGCGTATTGCGAAAGGAAAAGTGTTCTATTCACCAGGGCGCACGGAAAAGTGTAAGACGGTATCAAGTTCATGCATTTATATGAGCGGCCGTGGACAACTTTCCTCGCTTCCAGATCATAGCGAGGGAAGTGACCGCTCGATAGGTCTTTGTCCTGCATCGGAACGTATCCAGTTTACTCCGATAGTGTCAGTTTCCTACCACGGCAAGCGGAAACGCGTTGCGGTCATACCTTCATATTTCTAAGTCTCAGACTTGCACGTTTACTTGCACTAACGTATAAATTAAAGCTAATATTGAACGCACTGCATTGCCAATTATTGGAACGTGATTTAGTATCGCTTCTATATCTTAACCAGCTCTGCGAGAATTCCCTTTCACGTCATACTGGAAGTATAAAACAAAGTAAAAAGTTTAACAAACCGTTTAAGATAAACGGAGATTCAATCTACGAATTGCGTGAGGGCATTACGTAAGACAATGTTAGTAGCTTCGATCGGTATACTAACATCAATGAAAGATGATCTTGATAAGAAGTCGCTTAGATTTCCCCGGTGATCGCAAATCGAACAAGTGTAAAGGAAACAGTTCATTATCAACACGTGCAAGTAAAAGGGTTCTCGTGGTATCTCACGAGCTTTCTACCGCGCCTGCGCGAATTACCTCTAATTGTGGATAGCAGGTGGCTACTAATGAAAATTGCAGAACGCCACACCTTTCATCGCAATTGATGCTTGCGTAACATGTGTCATTATTTAGTTCTGTGGGAACGGAAACTTACAACAAATCCTTATATCCTTTTAAGTATATAATAAATAATTTTCATTTTAATAAAAACAAGTTAGTAAACTTTATAACACAACTTATTACGCAAATGTTAACTTTTGATGGCTATCTAAAATTAGCCAGCACTGCCTATTACGATTTACCATTGCAGTTCATAATGTAGACTTTCATTACATTATGGTATCTAATAGACTTCTAGGCCACTTAGTTTTATTAATATTCCTCCATCAATCAGCTTATAAGATTAATATTAGCACACAACTTCCTAGTCTGTGAATTTGAACATAAGATATATGGAAGTTTAACAACCTAAGCTTATAATGTACCGGCCAATATCAATATTTATTGTAGTCAATCTGGTTATTTTATAATAGCAAATGTAAAAATTGTTACTCGAGTTTTGACAGTAGGACCATAGAAAACTAACCAGCCACAATAGGTACTTTTTGATACAATTAATCTTTAACGTATGTATAGTAAACATTTAATTCGTTGATTTGTAATTTCTTAAATAAGTAAGCTAATTGTGACATCTAATGTTATTATTACAAAGTTAAAGAAATCTATTAGTTTCCCACATTTCAATCAAAGAATTGAATGTAACTAATTGGGAATTGCCATATTAACGCAAATTGACTACCTAGGCTGTCAATATTCTCTCCTACCAAGCTGTCAGTATATGGAAAAATAAGAACAAAATGTTACCTATCGCCATTTCTAATACAAAATGCTCAGAGATGGGTTAAGAGTACTGATTTCTATCCGAAAAAATAACTACGAATAAACATAGCTAGCTTAACTGGATGCGCGACGGTTTTAAAAAGAAAAAAGAAAACTGCCAATAGACTTAGCCCATGACGTTTAATATAAGTACCTTTTTTAAGTTCCATGTTCAACGCCAAGCACGATGCTACTATAATCGATCAACAACTTCCGACAAAAATGCTACCAATGATTTATCGATGAAGGAAATCAAGTGAAACGTAATGATTGATTCTCCTTACAAAAAAAATATACAAGTCAGCAATAAGTTAAAGTAATAAGCGATCCTTAACTTACTAATCAATCAAATACGTATGTTGCAATTATAAAACTTTGTTTTTTTAGTACCTTCGGTATACCTTCTTCGGTCCGCCACTTAACAAACTGATATCATTGCAGATTGCAGGGCTAAATATGATGGGATGGCATGAAATAAACAAAGAAAATATCAAACAGAGAATTGACGAAATCCGGGTAGAAAAATGGAAGGAGGGAAAGGAAGCCCGTGGAAGGAAGCCACGACGATAAACCGTCGAAAATAAATCGAATATGTTTTGTTTTAGCTAGAAGAATTTGACTAAACAGTTGACCACCGCATCAACTGTTCAGTGAGAGTCTCGGCATTTAAAATGATCAATCTCTTACTGCAAATTGGTCATGGTCGGTATGTATTTTTGATTGATTTGATTGTCACACTCTATCTAAAACGAGGGACAATGTATACATATATTGTGTCTGCTATTTTTGACTATTATTTATGTCATATTGTTTAGAACCTCGAGGCCTCGAGGTCTAGACTCTCGGGGCTCCACAGAAAGCATATCCTTGACGGATTCGGCTAAGCAGCCTTCAGCCTTAGAGGCATTCAGGCATAATCCCGCAGATGGTAGCTTTGCACCACCAGCCACTCAGCCGAGGGCAAGAACCGAATGTCCGAAACAGCGGTTCCTCTCGTACTGACCAGTATTACTATTGCAACGACAAGCCATCAGTAGAGTAAAAACATAACGTACTTATCCGTATTTCGTTATTTTTTTAAATAAGTACATATAGAAAGGTACTAGCTTCAATGAAAATATTCCGCATTAAACAATTTAAACTTACCGACCTAACCCCATAAAAAACATCCACGGCAGATTCATAGAAAACGAAACAAATAATACCTTATCCGTTGAAAATGTGCTTTCCCTTTACAACAGATGGCAAAACCTAGAAATTTTCAACAAATACACACCACACATGCATACTTCGTCCATGGCATCCCTAATGCAATGATTACACCAGATCAAACCGCTCTCCGATTGTAATAGCCTTAATGGCGGCATATTATCACGAATCTAACAATAATGTACAGCAATTACTTAGTTTAAGTGTAGAAAAATAGAGTTATTAAATGATTTCGACATTTCAAACATCCAGGTGTGTTAATGTTGTTCAGTTTATATATAATTACTCTATTTTTAGTCGGATTGTTGTGCAAAAATACTTTGTTGCTGTTCTCGTTGTAGTTCTTATAACTATGGTAAGTGAAATAATTGACTTCTAGTTCTGTAGCAAAACTGTATTTGTTTTGATAAGATCGATCTGTAAACAATGCAGACGCGCTATCCAATGATAAGCAATCAGCGTCCCACAACACCAAAGAGGTTGTATTTGGGGATCGTGCGATCGGCATTCTCTACGAGACTGCTGTGTGCCACTTACAAAAAGAACACAAATAGAAAATGCGCAGCTATCCTCTTGGCGATCAAGCCAAATCTAAAATTAAATAAACCTTAAATTATACTATATGTTATTTTAGGTTTGGAGATGGAAGTAAACCGGCTGAGCTTCTAGTAATCACACTGACACAGCAAAACATGCCAAAACGTTGTTTCGCTGTTGTGAGGCTGTGATATCACTCCGGTCGAGCTGGCCCATTCGTGCCGAAACGTGGTTCTTCCATACCACCTTTGTTGTGTGTTATAAAGTTAAAATAGTTTTTAAAAAGCAAAGTAGTTTTAGCATATGAACTGTTAAAAAGTTAATCGTTTCAGGAATAATAAACGCACCTGATTTGGTTTTGGACATGAAAAATGAAGGTACAGACTAGACTGTTTAAGATTTTTATTAGTTTCATTGAATTTATTATACTAACCTTTACATTAGCCAACTTCTGTGCTAATGATAAAACTTGTACTTTTAATAGACCATTTACCAGAAGGTTCTGGTAAATGCTCAGGCATCGTGGACAACCCAAGCCTTTTCAATTTAATTAGATGACTATTTTAACATAATAGGTCCAACTTTCCTTTCACGGGACCACAGGGTCCCGGACCTTTAGAAGGCGTATGAGGAGCCGAAGCCAACTCGCAGAGGCCCGTTGAACAGTTTTAATCTAAATGCGATGGGTAATCAGACGGCAATTATCCCTGTATGCACTATATAAGTGCACCCAAGGACAATCCCCGGTTGATGCAGGACTATTTAATTGTGAAATGTGGAAAAAATTGATAGGGTTATAGGTATGGGTTGCTATGGACTGGTGGATATGCAATGAACTATGGAAATATTATGGCCCCTGCCCCTGACCAATATTGATACATACGGATAAACAGGCAGGGGGTGACTGGCAAACTCAATTCTGGGCCATCCCGAAACGGCCGCTGGCATGTAGCGACAAGGGGGCAACATACGTTGAGCTGCTTGGGGAAGGAGAGGCATCCCACGGCTATCAGAGCAATCCCGGAAGTACGGTCAAGACACCTACCAGCATCTTACTGAGATACATCCTTCCCCGAGTCTCCTTCAACTCCTACTCATGCAAATCTTCACTCAAGCCAGCCAATTAAGGCAAGAATTAGGTGGGAGGGCTTGTGAGGAACAAGTGTTCACTCCAGCTAGTCACGAGGACTAACCGGAAAGAGAAGAACAAGACACCTCCCGGGAGTCAGGTCCGTGGGGTCGCCACTATAGGTCCAACTTATTATTTATTATAATCTATAACTGTATCCTTTAATACTTTATAGTGTCATCTTAACATTCTACATAAAATGCATTATTAAAATTTATTAGTAAGTATGTAATTTATAAAAGCATCATGTACACATAATATTCAACCTACTGGTCACGCCATCTATGATCAATGTGACGAGTTAATACAAGACATCGATCCTTTCGCTCCGTAGCCATAGTGAATGCGGTACGGTGTTAATATAGAATGAAATAACAGTTTCTGCACATTGATTACATTATATTTTGTGTAGATGGTGTTGTTCCCATATACTCGTATATTATTATTGTACCTAAGATATGGGAAGTTAAGTAAACAAATTTAGGAAAATGGAAAATGATAAAAGCTGTGTCATACCTATATCTATCAGTAGTAGTCTAATGAAAGTATGTAAAATAGAAG